ACATATTTATTGAAGGCGCAGCTGCATTAATCATTAGGTTAACTCATGAAAAGAAAGTTCAAAGAGAAAATTAGATACATTATATGGTAAGCTTAGGGTAACAGCTTCCTTTAATGGCACTTCTCAAGGTATTGCACTTATCTCTGCCATCTATTAGGTCCTACATTAAAGGGACCTGGGGAAGGTCCTGACTATATAAGTTGGTGTGTTGCACACCCTAATGAGTTAGCTTTTTAAAGAGAGAGTAATAGCCTTATCATAATGTGATATCAGAGCTAGACTTGAGTTTGCCTAGTCGGTAAGTCCCTCTGGTGGGCCACCCGTGACGGGGGTGTCAAGGATTAGTCAGGAAAGTTGTCAGGTCCCACATCAGAGGAATTTAGGGAGGGTCCTAGCTATATAAGCAAGTACGCTGCACACCCTAATGAGCTAGTTTTTTGAGGAGAGAGTAATAGCCTCGTGATAAAGTGGTATCAGAGTCAGACTTGAGCTTACCCAGTCAATGGGCTACCCATGATGAGGGTGTCACATATTAGTTGAAGGAGTTATCAGATCTTACATTGGAGGGACTTGGAGAGAGTTCTGGCTATATAAGTGGTTCGTTGCGTATCCTAATGAGCTAGCTTTTGGGGAGAGAGTAATAGCCTCGTGACACATCGCTTACTAGACGAGCAACAAGTCTCAAATCTATCGAGACCTTAAGAGGTCTTTTGAATCCAACGGGGATGCATTCGTCTAGCATTCTTGCTCGAGCACGACGTGATGCCATTGCTACTCTCTGTGCTACGGTGAGGTGCAATGTAAGATAAGTGGAGCGTGAACAGTTTGCTTAACAGGACTCTTCAATTTTTTTCTTTTCTTTATTATTATTATTTTTTTTATACGCAAGGAGCCTTTAACATCTTTTTTCATCAGTATAGATTTAATTTTTTTTATTTTTATTAAAATAAAAAATTTATATAAGTTGTAAAAAATTTTAATACCAATGGATCAATATTCAAAACAAAAAATTAAAAAAAATTAATATTAAATCTACATTGAATTGTCCATTTATAAAGGTTTTAATATTGAATGTGTATGTTCTAATAAATCTAGATTGTCCATGCAAGTAAATAGATTTATTAATTTTTTTAAATTTATATAATTTTTTATTTTAATAAATATAAAATAGAAAAATTAAATTTGAACCCCTGGATAGAGGTGAGGCGTGGAAGAGTGAAGTTGAATCTAATGAGACTTGCTGGTTATTGTGAGTCTCTAACCCTAATTTTGGACTTTTATACAAGCATGGTCCAGGTTAGGCTGAGTTATTGGATATAATTTTAAAATATAAAAATAAATTTATTAACAAAAAATTTAATTTTACATTTTTAAGTGGATTTTTTTATAAAACTAATGTTAGAGTTTAAAGTAATAATTTTTTAAATTTATATAATTAACAATTATTCATTAATTTTACATGATATAAAGTTAAACAAATCAATTTCAAGTATTTAAAAATTGAAATCACAAAAAATACTCATAATGAACATAAAAAATATATTCCCTCCGTTAAAAAATATAAAGTATTTTTTGAGGAGTTAGACATTTAAAAATATAAAGTATTTTTAGTTTTTCGAGATGTAATTATTTTTTTAAGTGCTCCCATTGATAATAATTTTATATTTATTATAGGGTATTTAATAGGGGTAAATATAAAAAGATAGGGTTAGTTTAAAAGTAGGTAACTACTTTATTGACGGGTGAGATTTAGTTAAAAATGTTTTATATTTTTTAATAAAAGGAGTAATACATAAAAATATTAAGTAAAATAATATTATAAAATAATTTAGTTTTAAAAAAATTTAAAAAAATATGTAAATTTTCTTGGGTTGGGATTGACCCCAACCCAATACCTAGCTTGAAGGACTCGGTTAGCTCGAACAAGGTTGGGCTAATCAAGCCATGACAACCCTAGTCTGAGCTTTTCAGGTTGTTCTCTTTAAAGGAAAAACAAACCTATTATAGTAGTCATCAATAGAGATTGGGTCTAGCAAAAAAAATTAGTTTCTCAGAGCGTGATAATTTGGTAGAGCTGCCTATATTTAGTGTCTGACTGTGCTTCAAACTAGATTACACTAATGTTCAAGCCAAAAAAAAAAAACTGTTATATTAGTTTTTTTTTTGTCATTCCCTTTGGGGTCCTTTTTTAGTTGTTGAGGCCTATTCGTTAATGCCAAAAATGAAAATAAGGAACTTTTTTTTACTTGAAAAATAACAATAAGGTACTTATATCAACTTGTACGTAATATTTTAAAAACTAGATTCAAATCCTTGAGTTACACGTATAAATTTTACAAAAAGAGGGGCATCTTGTTGTTTTTTTTTTGGTCTGTGGGGTTCAAAAATAAGAAGTGTATATATATATATATATATATATATATTAAGATAAAATAGAGGGGAATTAGGGTATTTTTCTCTATGTATTATAAAAGTGAAACAAAGGAGATACCGAGATAGATCATATGAAAGTTGGAAAGAAAAATAACGAATGCGATCATATGCTCTTAATTTCCTGAAAGAAAGCAAAGATCGAAAGTAAAATTAACTTAATGTTAAAAAAATAAGTTTTCAAATTAAATGAGACAATCAACATATAGTATGAACTCTAATAATTTTTATCCAAAAAAAAAACTCTAGTAATTTATTATGCCCTTCAAGATAGATCAATAAAGAATGTAGATAATGAAATTTCATCATCATCATGATGCTATAAAGTGTTCATTTTATTATTCTTACCCAAATAATTTAAATGTAGAAGAGAGAAATAAATATTCCATAATAACATGTTCATAAATAGCCATTGTTTTTTTAAATCTTGTTTAACTAAAAAAAATAGCCATTGTTTTTACTTAATATTATGAACTAGCATTACGGGAAGCGTTAACTTCAAAAAATTATATCACCTAAATATTTGTAAAAATATTCATTTTTTCCCAAAAAAAATCGCCCACAAATATTTATGAAAGTACTCATTTCGTTAGTTTTATTTGTATGAAATTAATATATAAAATAATAGAAAGGTAAAACAACAAAATTCATGAATAAGTTCTTTTTATTTGTGATTTGAAGTTTTATCCATAAATTATATTACAATAAAAAAATAAAAAGATATTGCATTCAGTGAAATTGTTCTGAAATTAAGCATCATACAAATTTAGTTGTTTTTAACATGGAAATACCAATTTTTACTTTACTAATTTGAATGTAAAGATAAATCCTTTCTTTTAGAGATGAATATGTCTGTTTTTGTTTAATATGTTTTTCTTTATTAATACAAGTTTTAGCGTTTATACTCTCTCATATAACGCACAGGAGAATGGACTTACATTATAATTAAATAAATAGATATAACAAAATCATTAATTAAAATAAGTTTTCTATGGTCGGTGATTTGAAGTTTCATCTTTCATTATATTACAATGAAGGAAAATTTAAAATTAATGCAATCAATAAAATTACTCCAAATACTAATATTAATTTTACTAATTTCAATATAATGATGAATTCTTTTATTTGGGAGTGATTACATCCGTATTTGTTTGATATGCTATTTTTAAATAGTGAAGAGAATAAAGTATTTAACATTAAGTCAATTAACTTTGCCTATATTTTATACTCGATCCCAAGCCTGAATAAAAAAAAGTATTGTATTAGGTTTTGTGTTAGGATTTTAACAGTCAATGTAAAACTTTATTAAGTCTCACATGAAACTTTATTAGTAAAGAGATGATGACTCTACATTTGTTAAATAAATAATAAAAATAGTAGCGGAATATAAATAATTTTAATTTCAATTCTTTATTTTAAATATTAAGAATTTACTTTCATTATTAGATGGATGTAGGCTAAAACTTAAGTTGCATTAATCTTTAGGAGACGTTTTCCGCAAAAATTTGCAACGTGCGTGCAATGACTTTTTGTCAACTGTCCACATTATCAATTTTAGATTGCATTTATATGAAAAAAAAAAGGATAATGAGTAATGGAGGCAATACAAGGGGCATGAATTGTATTGCAGTATAATGTGCTGCATTTCTCTAATTACTCAAAAGAAGAGCAATACAAAAAAAATCCGACACTCTATATTTTTAATTATACTTAGTTTTGAAGTTCTTACTTTGCGATGGCCTTACCTCCCCTGTGCAACATTGTAATTTTTTTTTAAATCAATGCCCAAATAAATGTGTATTTGCTAAGATTGTTAAAAGTAATAAATGTTAATCATAGTCTCATAGATTAAGTATTAATAGTATTATAGTAAACAAAACAACAACAACAAATCTTTATCCCACTAGGTGGGGCCGGCTACATGGATTGCAAGATGTCATTGTGCTCTATCATTTATCAAATTTTTGAAAATATTATTAATTAAGAGATCGCGTTCAATAACTTTCAATAGTGTTCTTTTAAACCTTTTTCTACCTCTTTTAATCGAACTCAAAGTTAAAAGTTACATTAATAGTATTATAGTAATCAAACAATAAAATATGTTATACTACTAATTGATATTAAGGAGAAAAATAAAGATTTAGTAAATACACGCTATCGTAATTTGTAACAAAACTTGACTGCTACAACAAAGCACAAAAGCTTTAAAGACAATAAGCTTTACAGATAACTATTAATATCTTTGGTTAATAACACAATTTAAGGGAATGTTATATCACAGAATGGAGAATCACTATATGGTATTAAAATCTCCTCTTAGAAGGCAAGGGTGTTGACAATTAAGCACGTCCCTCTACAGCATTGGCCAAAGGTCTCTTCTCTTGTATTCATGGGGATTAGCATAAACAAAGAAACACTCCCAAGGATTACAAAAATCATCAAATAAAACATGCAGATATTGAGATTGCTTGCTCAGGGTAATATTTTTAAAATTAGGATTGCTCCACAACAGCCAAATACTGCCACCATAACCCTCAGCCTCAATAATTTCAGCAAATTTAAACCCCAAATTAAGAATAGTTTGTTTATCACTCAATCCACTGTTCCTTGGCTCAAGAATACAAATAATATCCACCCTAAATTGTCTTTTTAATTCCTTAATAGAGAGCAAAATCCTTTCCATTTGCTCATCTGGCATTCCATATCATTAGCTTCGTAAAAAAATAGAATTAAAAAGGAGAACAAACTTGGTCAAAAATCCAAGGGAGCCTAAGCTTCCCTAGCCTGAGCAATCTCCTCGGCCTCTTCTAAAAACTATCCAGTCACCTTGACTTCTTCCATGTAAGCCGTACCTCTCATTCGTTTTCAGAGCCAATGGCATCCACAAATTCTTCCCTTTCTTGCATCGCTGAGTCATCTTGTATATCAGGTCCATGCTTCGTGTTCAAATATGGATTCAAGAGTTTGAGACGACTAGTGTTGATTTCCATTATTCTTTCATTCCTTTTCCCCTATTCTGATTGCCCAGAAATTTTGTTCCTGTGAACTGTCGTTGAACTCGTATACGTGGAGTTGTGATCATGTCCCAATGAAGCTTTGATTTGTCCAGGATTTTCTTTTGGGCTCGAATTAGAATTTCTATTGGAACTGGGCGCATCTTCCTTGTTTGTTCTACTGAAGCAGTTTTTGCAAGCCGTTGGTAATGTTTGAGCCCTTGCTTTAACCTGAGCCCATTAGAATTAGGCCCACCCACCTTTTTATTACTCCTCTCTTTTCCAATAATTACAGAGCTCATTTCCTTTGAAGTCTCCATATCGCGCATGATTTCCTACCCCTGCATCTCGCCCAAAATTTGACATCTTGATTTATGTAAATTTGTATTAACTTCTGGGTGATTTTTTCGCTGCCTTCTCAGGTGATTGACAACCTTCCATTTTGGTTCACCCTCCTCCGTGGTCGTCATCTCTGCCGTCTCTTCTGTATTATCTTGCCGGGCTCTTCCTTCTGTAGTCCTCTGCTTAGCTTCGGCATTGGATCCCTTCAATGTGCAGGTCTCCTTAACATGCCCATACCTGCCACAACAAAGACAAAGCAAATGAATGCTCTCATATTCATTTGTTTTTTTAACTCCTTCAATATTATAAGTAGGAACAAGAGGCTTGGAAAGATCAACTTCAACACATAATCTAGCAAACTTCCCTCTTTCTCACATGGCTGTAGGTGGATCTACCTTTAATGTTTTGCCCATTGTATTCCCCAGTATGTATAGAATATTTTTGTCATAGTATGGTCCTGGGAGATCGGGTAATCGAGCCCACAATGCAATATGACTTATTTTTCAGTGTAAGGATTAAAATCGGCTCTCCAGGCTGCAATTGTAAGGTAGCAGTCATTTATAACCTACGGTCCTCGCGTGATTACTTCCCTATAGTCGTCTTTATTCTTGAATTAGACAAGAAAATAATCATTTTGCATGTCACTTATTTTGACCCATCCTTTTCTAGCCCACAATTGACTTAGTTTATTTCTCATGAAGAATAGAGATGGCGCCTTCCTCATTAGTTTCACAACCAGTGCTGGCTTGAAAGGTTTATAAATCATCTCCTTTTCCTCCTCATCCAGCGAGAAGTTTGGGCAAAGAGGATTTGTTAAGTCCACTGCTATCCCTTTTCCTGGATCTCTTACACAAGCAAAACCTGTGTTGGTGCTTCCAAAGTCAACCTCGTCCTCCTCCCTTAAATCCTATCCATTCTGATTATCTTCCCTAATATTGTCATTCCCAATAAGCTTATCATTATAGGGTCCTTTCTTAACTGGATCCTCCATCCACTCCTCAATTTAGGGCATTCTAGATTATGTCCCTGTAAAGAGTTCATCAGCTTTCCTTAACTTTTTTTTTTGCTCCGTGCTATAAAATTAGTCTCCTCTGCTGACAGTGATAGAGCCAAAGAGTCAGAGGATTTGAGAGATTTTTCCATCGTTATCATGGATTTGACAGTGTTCTTGTTTCAGACCTAATTCTAACGATAACAATGTGATGATGAATAATAACTAACAAAGTTTACTCATATAATGATTGATAACAAACACTTAATTTAAGGTATGTTTGGTTTCCATTCTCAAAAATTGTTTTTTAACAAAAAAAATTTAGAAACTTTAACTTATAAAATTGATAGATGCAATCATGAGTAAGAGTGCATAAAAGATCGGGTTAGCTATCAACCCAACACCTAATCCTTATGTATTGAAATCAAGATCGAGCCAACCCAATATAAGAAGACTAGGCTTTAGTCTTGTGTTAAAAAAAGTAAAATAAATTAAAAAATGAAAATAACAAATAAATTTAAATATTAAATTTTGTCCAAATAAAATATTCCTATTGTGAAAGATAATATTATGTTAAAAAATAATATTTTTAAAATTTAAAAAACTCAATAATATACATTGTTTTTCCATAATATTAAGTTAGGAAATCAGATTAAAAGTGTTAAATAAAAATAATATATATGTTTTTTTAAAAGTATTCATATTCAATGTCCCCCGAGCGACGATCGAATTGATATTTCTCTTACCATATGTATTTGTTGAAAGCACAGCTGCATTAATCATTAGGTTAACTCTCGGAAAGAAAGTTCAAAAATAAAATTAGATACATTACATGGTCAGCTAGGATAATAGCTTCCTCCAGTGGCACTTTTTAAGGCGCTGCACACATCTCTGCCATCACTCACTAGATGAGCAACAAGTTTGGGATCCATCAATTTAAAAGGTCTTTGGAATCTAGCGGGGAAGCATGCATCCAGCATTCTTGCTCGAGCATGACATGATGCCATTGTTGCTCTCTGTACTACGGTGATGTGTAAGTGAGAAGAGTGGAACCTGACCGGTTTGGTTAACAAGACTCTTCAATTTTTTTCTTTTCTTATCTTTATAATTTTTTTTATACACAAGGAGTCTTCAGCACCTTTTTTCATCAATATAGATTAGAATTTTTTTATTTTTATTAAAATAAAAAATTTATACAAGTTGTAAAATTTTTTTAATAAATTTCTTTATCAGTTTGGACGATCTAAATTTAATATGAATAGTTCAAAATTTAATATTAAAAACTTTAAAAAAAATTTAATATTAAATCTGCATTGGATTATCCATTTATAAAAGTTTTAATATTGAATTTGTATTGTTCTATTAAATTTGAACTGTCACATACGTAAATAAATTTATTAATTTTTTTCTAATTTATATAATTTTTGTATTTTAAAAAATATAAAATATAAAATTAAATCTAAAACCCAGATACAGGGAAGGTGTGGAGGAGTGTAGTTGAGTTTGATGAGGCTAGGTGGTTATTGTGAGTCTCTAACCTGATTTTGGACATTTGTACAAGCATGATCTAGGTTGCGCTAATCGGCCTGATGTGCATTTTCCTTGCTGGATATAATTTAAAAATATGAAAATAAATTTATTAACAAAAATTTAATTATACTTATTCTAAATGGATTTTTTATAGAACTAATATTAGAGTTTAAAGTAATAATTTTTTAAATTGTATATAATTAATAATTATTCATTAATTTTACATGATATAAAGTAAAAAAATTAATTTCAAATATTTAAAAATTAAAATCACAAAAAATACTCATAATAAACATAAAAAATATAATACATAAAAGTATTAAGTAAAATAACATTATAAAATAGTTTAGTTTCAAAAAAATTTGAAAAAATAAAATATGTAAATTTTTTTGTTGGGATTGACCCCAAGCCAATACCTAGTCTGAAGTCCACTTGATCACCTGGCTAGCTCTAGCAAGGTTGGGTTGATCAAGCCATGTATAGTCCTAATTTGAGCTTTTCAGGTTGATCTCTCTAAAGAAAAAGCAAACCTATTATAATAGTCACCAATAGAGATTGGGTCTAATGAAAGGAACTAATCTCTCACAACATGATGAATTGTTACAATTGCTCATATTTTGTGTTCGACTGTGCTTCGAACTAGATTACACCAATGCCCAATCCAAAAAAAAAAAACAAATTGTTATATTAGTCATTTTTTGTCATTCCATTTTGGGCTCCTTTTCTAGTTGTTGAGGCCTGTTTATTAATGCTAAAATGAAAATAAGGAACTCTTTTTTACCTGAAAAATAAAAATAAGGTACGAATAAAATTTTAAAAACTATATTCAAATTTTAAAAATAGAAGGGTATTTTCTTGTTTTGTAAAAATTTTAAAATAGAGGGGCATTTTAAAAATAAATTTTAACTCGCTTAAAACTCAATCATTTAATTATAACTCATTATAACTTAATTATTAAATTTTTAACTTGTATATAATTTAGTCATTAAACTTTTGATTATTTATATTTTTTGACATGTGATTATTTATAATTTAATCTTTATCATTAATGATTCACCATGAGTCCACACTAAATTATCTTAAGAGCCTGTTTGATTTTCAAAACCTTCCCATCCCCAAAATTAGGGGGATTCCCTTCTCCCTTCTCCTCACCCCCTTTCCTCCCCTCCTCTCTCCTTCCTCCTCTTTCCCTCCCTCTTCTTTTGGAACCAAACACAATCTAGTTGGCAAAAATGGTAAATAAAGCTACTAAAAAATTAACGCTATCTCGCATCTCCAGTTACTCTTCTTTTCTCTATCCCGCCATGCCTTCTCCTTCCTTCCTCTCTCTCCCCCCTCCTCCTTCTCTTCTTCTTCCCACCCACCCATGCCTTCTCATTCTCTCCATTTCGTTCCACTCTTCCCTTCAAACAAGGCCCTCAAATCTACTACTCTTCCACCTGCCCCACCTCCGATGACGCCGCCATGACTCTCAGCCACTTCTTATCGACAAGGACTAAAGATTGAGAGGTAATTGCAGGCAAGGTTGAGAAGGCAGTCCAATGTGAAGCATATAGAGGAGGAGATGAGGCTAGAGACGGAGCTATTCCCGAATGAGTATTGGAAGCGGGGATAAGGGAAGAAAGTGGAGGGAGTGTGGTTGAGGATAGAGGATGAGGTAGGTAGTTTGGAGGCCATGGAGACAAAGTGGAAGACGATGTTGTCGTTACAGGAGGAGCGTTGAAGTATGGAGAAGATGACGGCCATGGAACCCTGAAGGTAGGAGTGGTCGAGAGTCATGGTGACGTCATCAGAGGTGGGCTTGGTGGGAGAGTTGTAGATTTGAAGGGCTTGTTTGAAAGGAAGAGTGGAACAAAATGAAGAGAAGAAGAAGGCATTGGTGGCTGGGAAGAAGAAGAGAAGGACGGGGGGAGAGAGGGAGAGAGGAAGGAGAAGGCATGGCGGGATTAGGGGTGAGCATCGGTCGGTTCGGTTCGGTTCGGTCTCAAAATATGCAGAACCGATCGATCGAATAACACTGAAAATGAAAACCGTATCAAACCGAATAAGCCAATCGAACCGAACAAGGACCGAACCGAAATTTGATAATTCGGTTCGGTCGGTTAATTCGGTTTTTCGGTTTGGGCTTATTTTTTAAATATTAAAACAAACAACACTACAAAATTAGGCCTTTTTTTCTATTCGTTTTTTTAATATGAGCCCATTATAATTATACCCATATGACATAAAGTCCAAATATTATAAAGGCATGGATAATCAAATAAACAACCATAAATAAACACCGATGATCAAATAATAGCCTCATAATCCAGTCACAATACCTACTGATGAGAGTGACTGATTGAATTGGGGTTTCAAGTGATGTTATTATTTTTTATTCTTTATTAAAATAAAAAATAAAAATAAAAATAAAATAATTTATAAATTAAATATAATTTATAAATTAATAAATTATATGTAATTCGGTCGGTTCGGTCTATTCGATTTTAAATTTTACTAACCGAATCGAACTGATCAACCGAAATATTTAAAATAAAAAAACCGAATCGAACCGAAAAATCAAATAGACCGAATCAAATAGACAAAATTCGATTCGATTCGGTTCGATTTTCGGTTTCGGTTCGGTTTTGCTCACCCCTAGGCGGGATCGAGAAAAGAAGAGTAATTGGAGAGGCGAAATGACGATTGAGCGAGTCATACAGCGTTTTTTTTAACAGCTTCATTCATCATTTTTGCCATTTAGGTTAATTTAGTGTGGACCCATGCCGAGTCATGAATGATTTCTATAAAATTATAAATAATTAAAAATTTAAGAACTGAATTATATATAAATTAAAAATTTAAGAATTAAATTACCTCGAAGTCATAATTAAATAATTAAGTTTTAAATGAGATAAAATGTTAAGAATTAAAAGATTAGTTTTCCCAAGATTTATATATATTTCAAAAATAAGAAAGAAATATATATATAATTAAGATAAAATAGAGGGCAGATTAGGGTGTTTTGGTCTATGTATTATAAAGGCGAAACAATGGAGATACCTGGATAGATCATATGAAAGTTGGAAAGAAAAAAAACGAATGCAATCATATGCTCTTAATTTCCAAAAAGAAAACGAAGATGGAAAGTAAAATTAACTTAATGCTAAAAAAATAAGTTTTCAAATTAAATGAGACAATCAACATATAGTATGAACTCTAATAATTTATTATGCCCTTCAAGATAGATCAATAAAAAATGTAGATAATGAAATTTCATCATCATCATCATTATGCCATAAAGTGTTCATTTTATTATTCTTACCTAAATAATTTATATGTAGAAGAGAGAAATAAATATTCCATAATAACATGTTAATAAAAAGCCATTGCCTTTTTTAAATCTTGTTTAACTTGAAAAAATAGCCATTGTTTTTACTTAATATTATGAATTAGATTTTTATGGACCGGAGAAGAAAAAATATATCTAATGAATCAAATATTTTTAGTGTAAAAGTTAACTCTCTAGCCGAGTCTGAAGACTTCCCATCAACTAGAGTAATTAAGAATTTAATGAATATCAAGTGTTTTAGTTATTAGAACTTGACTCAAGGAAAAATATTCATCAAGAATAATTCTAATTATTTTAATGTTTGAAAAAAAGGGGGTGCTTTTAATTAACATATAAAGGATATCTTTGTTTCTAATTAAACAATTAGACCAATTTATGAACATGAAATCAATCCCCCATGTTTGGTTGGAGGGGAAGGGTGGAGAGTTTGTACTTTCTAATGACTTCAATTTCAAAATAAAAGATGGATAAGTGGGATAATAAAATTTTAATAGGCAATATGTAAATTAAGAAAGCAAGTAAAATTAATTGAATAATAACATGTTTAAAAATTTTGAATAAAATAATGAAGTTTGATTAGATAATAACTAAACAGAAGTAAATTCAACTAATGAAACTTCGAATTTTTCTTGCATAAATTTGAAGTCAGAATATGGCATATGGAAAAAAAATTTAAAAAAAATGAATAGAGGGGATTTCTTATGTCAAGGCAGAATAAATCAAATTAATGTTGAAACTGATAAATTAGGGAAAAGCAACGAAATAAGTATCATAATCAAATTAATTCTAACTGATTAACTCTAGAGTGATCTCGTGCATTGCCCGGCTTATTATTGATACAAAAGAATGATGAATATGTAATAAATTTGATTATAAATTTCATCTATACACATTGTGCTTACAGGAGAATAGTCCACTAATATTTTAAAACCAAGCTTCTAGTACATAATATAGTATATGTGCATTGTATTTTTTGTAGTTTATGCCAATTGCAATTGGAAATGTTTCAGACCTAATTCTAACAATAACAATGCAATGATAAATAATAACTAACAAAGTTTACTTATAGAATGACTGACAACAAACACATCATTTAGAAGTAAACTAACATCATTTAAGGAATTGAGTCACATACAATTCCAAACTAATCTTTTGATTTTCCCTTCTCACAAAACAAAGGACAAATGTATAGACCAAACTTGAAAACCTTGGTGATAAAGGGAAATCAGAAAACTATTTGGGGAATTGTTTTCAACCTTCAAGTCTTGTAGACAGATGGAGCAATTAAGACTTAGATAATTTTTTCAAGATTAATTATCATTTCACCATCACCAAAATTTGTGCCCTAAAGGGCAAAAATAATAGCAATAATGTCAATGAAATTCAATACAAAAAAAAAAGATAGCTATGGATTTGAATTCATATGCGATGGAAATAAGTTTCTTGAGAATTAAAGATTTAGAGTCTGTTTAGTTTTTCTTTCTTTTTTTTTTAAATTTATTTTGTAATACAATTTTTAGAATTATTTTTAAAAACAAAACAAAATGAAAATTTGTTTCATCCTATTAATTTAAAAATAATTTTAAAATTAAAAAACAAAACTGATATTAATAATTATAGGCAGTTAATAGTAGTGATTTATAATAAAAATTATAAATCAAATATACATCTTGCTTAAAAAAAGAGGGTTCAGTCACCAATAAGAGCAAAGGACAATTAAAATCAGACATACCCACATAGCATTAGATCATCATAAAAGGCTTCCCTCTACAGGTAGTGGAGGCCATACTTCATATCCATCGTCAATCACTACTGCTACCTTTAGGGCAATATATTTTCTCAATTCACTGAATTAATTATGGAAGGGATCAGCGTGAAGAACAACCAACAAATGATATAGATTTGAACAAATACAATAACAACCAATGCCTATATTACCTTGAAGGGTGACCAGTCCAGGAATCAAGATTTTGTGCAGGAGGATTATATGATGAAGATAGTTGTGATCCTATCCCACCTTCATTACCAACCAGAACCAGTTGGATAAAATTTGAAAAAAATTTAGGGACAAAATTCAAACATAATTACAAGTTTACAACCTAACCGTTTCATAAAGTTGAATCTCATTGCCAATGGAAAAAACTAATGCATTAAGTCCCCATTGTTCTGGTGCCAATGAAGGAGTTACACTCCTTTTCCAATTTAAATTTTTAACCTCATGCTCAAATCCTAAATTTTTTCCCTCTTTCTATATATTACCTTCCAATCTAAACACAAATCTTTTAATGGAGTGATAGTCTCATTAACAGTAATTGCAAGTGATTTGTCAGCATATTCTATTACAGCTTCCATAGATAGATTTGTTTTCCTACTGGCCTAAAATTTAGAATCAGAATTTTAGCAGAATGATTGCCACTTTGGATTAATATCCCATGTGGCAATTATTGTGCAAGTGTTCTACTTGGAATTCCACTTGGGTAATTTTTTTTCCTTTTGATCTGATGTATGAGTAATGTTATAACATGCAAGAGGATTATACATAACCACCTACAAGAACCCCCAAATATTAAGAGAAACATTTCCATAAGAAAGAGTCATGTCTCATTAAAGATTAGAGCAATCTTTTTTAATGGTTGGCTATTACTAAAATAAGAGCAACACTGATGCAATGGCCAAAATGAAGAGAATGAGGGGGAAAAGGAGGAAAAAGAAAGGGAGATACCCCATGCCTCTAATGAGAGGAGGGCATTGCATTGAGAGGAAAATAATTAATCGTTTCAATTTTGAAAAGAGAGAGAATTTTGGCAAAAAAAAAAATGCAGGGAATCGAGAATTATTCCAAGCAATAGTTAAATGCATTAAATTGAAAATCTAAATTTGAATTTGAATGCAGCAGCAATATAGGAAGTGAAGATTTATTAAGGAAGAGGCATGAGTTTCCAAGGTAAAAGAATGAAATTACATGGGAGAAGGAAAACTGGAAAAGTCTATAGAAGAAGGATATCAGGAATACAACACAGAAAATGAAGCCAATAGACCAGATTGTGTTTACCAGAATCGACAGGAAGGAGGAAGAGAGACACAGGAGAGCCTTGAGTCCACGTGTTCTTTCACCATCAATAAGATACCAAAAGAGCACCTGCTGCTCCTAGTTCCTGGCTGAGCCTCGCCCATCTTATGCTACAAGAGCACTTCTCGATATCATGAGAGCTCCTGACTTATCATTCTCCCTCCCTGTTATAACAATTTCGAAAATGAGCCTTCTCAATTAAGAGCAAATGATGGTGGTAACAAGAACAAAATGATCGATGGGATTGAAGAAGGGATCAAAAGGTGGGAGAAAATATAATGAGAGAAAAACAAGGATGAACCCGTATCTATCTGCTGCATCTCGGCATCCTCTGTGTATCAATTCATTCCGGTAGCCGTCGTTGTTCCAGAAGAGGCTGATGGCATCGCCGTCACTTCTGGTGGAGTTGGCGGTGAAAGACGTGTTGTTCTTGCGAGACGAATCATGGAGGTGCCTCAACTACGACACAAGAGTTGACGGAATGAGATGTCATCTGTCCCATTTTGTGGACCCACAATACTAATTAACGGAGGTTAACTCCCATTTAACGGTAAAGATAACATTGGTCCAGCTTTTTGGGTTTTGGGGGGAAGGATGTACTAAACTTGTGTTTATGATACTGGATGTTCTCCAAAGTATAGTTCATTATAACCCTTAAAATAAACCAACCAATGAGACAGCAGAATTTACCTTAGATTAAAATGATTTGATTAAACTTTCATAACATCTTATTTATTATTATTTTGTCTGTTCAAAAATTATTTTTCAACTGATTGCTCTTGTTTTATTGTATCCTATCCGAGGAGAATATTTGTAAGGTAAAATCCCACCCAAGGCCACTGCAAAAAGTGCATATCTGCACTTGAGTAGCCCCAGCTTTGATGAGCTACATGTTACACCAACACTCTGGCCTTTAGCTGCACAGACAAATTGCTTAGGCGAAAATGCCTGTGAAGGAAATTAAACAATGCATTGCTATAAATTACGAACAATGCATCTATGAATTGCAAAAAGCTTGTCTATAAACTATAAACAATATACTTGCAAACACATGAAATCTCAATACTAAATTAAACATGACTAATTTGGATTTAGATTATTTACTGCCAAGTTTTCATAATTTTTATTTTATGTACTTAGTCTTACATACTTAATATATTTTTATTTAAAATTTTTTTTGGCCAAATATATTTTTATCTAATCAAATCAGAACAATTGAATTTTGAATTTTTAATGTTTAAAAATATTAATAATGACTTTTTTAGATAAAATTAATAAAAAAATTTGTTATAGAATAAATAATGTATCAAAAATCCACATGCCTTCATTTAACTGGACACAATCACCTTAAGGTTTATGAGGTTAAAGTATATAAGTATTTTCCTCTCAAAGTTGTTATCAAGTAATAAATTTTTAGTTATATTCAAATTATATATTTTTATTGGAAAATTTTGATAACTTATTTTGAAATTAAAATTATGTAATATAATTTTCCTTATTTTATTGAACTACATTTTTATAACAATTAATTTTTACATTTAACTGCTGTTATTTTAATTTTCATTTATCTATATTATATGCATAAAAGAAAATAACTCTACTTTCATTTAAAATAGAAGGGTTAGGTTACTGTGTCGTCATAAAACTTAGTTACTCTTGACCAAAAAAAAAAAAACTTAGTTACTGTAAAGGGATGACACTGTTATTAACTTATTATGATGCTATAGAAAAATTGAAATAGTACTTTGTAACATCTATCATGCGTTTTTAGTTTTTTTTTTTTAATTTCACATTTGTCATGTCACTCAAAAAACAGGGCCGTGTGAAAAAGTTGAGATCTAAAGCGAAATTATAAACTGTTTGAGCCACAAAATCTTGTATTAAAGTTTTGTAATATAATAATTCTAACAAAAAGCCAAATTAGTTCAAAAAAAGAAGAGTTGTGGAGGTGGAGCCAAGGAAAATGAGAAGTTCCTTAAGGTAGTTACCACCTGATGAAGGCTGGTTTAAGTTAAATACTGATGGGACGAGTCGGGAAAATCCTGGTTTGAGTAAATGTGGTGGGTTAGTGCGTGATTGTACAAGGAAGTGGATTTTTGGTTTTGTCAAGAATCTTGGGAGATGTACTACTCTGGAAGCTGAGTTTTGCAATGTATATGAAGGCTTGGAGTTATGTTGGTCTGCTGGTTTAAAGAAAGTAGTGCTTGAGGTTGATTCCATTGTGGTTTTGAAATAGATAGAGGGAAGAAGCAAAGATCATTTTGTTGAAGGTAGTCACTTGTTAAGAAGAATCTGAAGCTGGTTTGAGAGAGATTGGTAATTATTGATGGTTCATTCTCTTAGAGAAGGTAATGAATGTATTGATACCTTGGCTAATATTAGTTTTGGTGTTGGAGAGGAGCTGATGGTTTGGGATAATGTTGTTGAGGAGGTGCCATTAGCTTATTTAGCAGGTTTGGGTGTTTATTTTGAGAGAGTGTTGATTTGTTCTTTTTGTGTTTTTCTTTTTCTTTTGTTTGGACATATAGCCCCTACTTGTACCAAAAACAAAAAAAAAAAAACAACAAATAGCAAAATTAGTTCAACAAAGAGAAATGGGAATTGTTATTGACAAGATGCTCTCACTCTGTCTTATATATTGGAGTAGTATGTGAATATTATGACAATAATTTTTAACATAAAGGCATAAAACAAACTAATGATACCAATGACTAATGAGAATAATAATTATATGAGTTATAAATAAAAGTTTGATAAAGCCCGAGACTACCAGCCTTGATTGCCTACAGCCACGCACGGCCCTGCTCAAAGGAGTTGTTTTAATATCGGCCTTGTATGTTTAATCAGCCGATGAAAATCGGTTTTTATTTTAGAGATTTTCATGAAAAATAAAAATTATTAACGAGCTTTAAATATACTGATATCTAAAACACCACGTTATAAATTTAAAATAAAATTAACAGGCATTATTAAATTAATAAAACACGGATAACTTCAAAAACGCATTCGGTGCACCGTGCGCTCATCACCTTGTAAGGTGATATAAGCCATTCATTTTTCTTTAAATGATTCTCGCCGTTGATTTAAAATTATTTTTTTAAATATTTTAATATTATAGTTATAAAAATAAAATATATACAAATTATAAAAAATTATAATATTAAATATGAATTATTTTTTATGTTATTAGAGGATAAATATTGCAGTATTTATCACCCTTGTAAGATTTAGATAGTTTAAATTTAAATTTTTTACTTTTATTTTTATATTTATTAAAATAAAAAATATAGAAATATTCAATAAATTTATTTATCACTAATCTAACCATTACAAATTTAATTTGAATACTCAATTTAATTTTATTTTTTAATAATTTTTACCAATTAACAATGGTGCAAATATAATTAAAAAAATTTAATTTAATATTAAAAATTTTATAATTTTAATTAATTGATCATCTAAATATTCTTTAAACGGTCCATATTTAATATTATAATTTTTTATAATTTTATTTTGATAAATTTAATATAAAAATATTTCAACAATAATTTTAAATCAACAGTAGATATTATTTGAAAAAAAATAAATATCTTTACGTGACATGATACCTTGCATCAACTCTCGAGGATCGTTTTCTTTATAGTTCTACAATCCTAATATTAAACTCATGCAACATAATTCATCATGAAAAGTCATCTGAATCATTCGCAAACCGAATTAGAGAATTGATTATGCTTTTCATCTATTGGACACCATATTCAAGCGGCAAAGACGGCATAAAAAATAGGCAAAATACAATCTTTAATTCTCATAATTTTATCAAGATTTGTTTTCAATTCTTACAATTGTTTTTTCATGTTTTCAATCTCTATAATTTCTAAAAAATAAGGTAACCCTTGTTTTTCAAGTCCCTCTAGTTTTTATTTTTTTAATAGTTTTAATCTCGATAGAGATTGAAAATACTAAAAAAAAATTACAGGAACTAAAAGCAAAATCTGATGAAATTATAAAAATCAAAGATTATGTTTTTCCTAAAAAATATCCAAACCTTGTTACAGTATTTTTCATTCTCACAGTTAAAACTAAACCTCAACACAGTACAACACTAAGGGTTTAATGAATTTGAATGATCTTGAGTGTAAGAGATCATGACCTCTTAACAAGAACACAAGTTTTTAAGCTGAAGTGATGAAGTTACCTTCCATGCAAATGAGGAGAAAGAAACTCCCTCACCGGTTTTGCAAGTGAAAATTAGAATGGGTTCCAGAGTATATATAGCTAAGTAAACAACGAGCTTCAAGGATATTAATGACAAACTTACGAAGTCTTGGCAAAATATTTCGTCCAAGCTATGCCAAGGGATAGCGACTAAAGATAGATGTTCACTTTCAACACACCGAACTGTTTTAGTTCTAATCAAATGTAGATGTTTTGGAAAATTTCATTCCTACAACAAATCTTATCCTACTAGGGGGGGTAAATTCCATTCCTTCAACAATAAATGTTTTAAAAAAAAAAAATTGCAGCAGAAAGACTGAAATTTGGTAACATGTACTCTGAACGTACAGCTCAACAGTTCAACTCATCAACATTGATTCGAAAAACGTAATCTTCACCTTCTAACTCTTCATGAAGTAGATTAAGATAGGGCGCTTCAAACCTCTTGACAGGCATGTCCTCATGTGATGATCTCCGTCCCTAAAAAAATTCAAGCTTATAGTAGGTTAAACATGCATAAAGAATACTGAGTACAAGTATATAAATCATAACCCTGACCAAATTGTTATGCATAACCATACTTCAAACCAGAACCAGTATAAAATCAAATTAAACGAGCTAAACCCTCAGATTCACATTCTAATAGTTACTTCACGAGTTATCAAACGTAAAAAATATGTAACGTGCCATCAGAATATTGGAGTGACTTATAATTTGGGATTGCAAAAATAAATTATCATATGGATTTCTTACTTCTTTTCTTTCTTTTTTTTTTAACTAAAAGAAGAATGGAAGGTAATCTTTTAACATGTCCCTATTACAAGGAAACACAAGGGAGCTTATAGAGACTAACCTTCTTCAACACGTAGACAAAATAATGAAAAGTTTCACCAAAGGTGATCCACTCAACAGACCAGCTAAAATCTGGAGCATTAAATATAGGACGCCTAAAATGTGGCTGTCAAGCGTTTAAATTTAGATCAGAATCACAAGAGAAACTCGTTTACAAAGACACAAGACAAAGCAATTCAAACTTGAAACCTGGCCAAAAGTTATCGAGATAAATATGCCATCTGATTTCAATATCCTGTGAACACCTTTCAGCATGGCCATAACCTTTGATATAGTTTCAGGCTTCGGATTCCATGGGTCACCACTGTCCACGAACAATACATCCTTCAAAAAGATAACATGTGCATATTGAATAATGAAGCAGAGACTCAATTATAA